CCCTCCCACCGTGTGCCCCGTTTGGCCAGCGGGGGAGGGGTGCGGCTTCCGGCTGCGGCTCCCTCTCGGCACCGGCCTCTTGCGCTTTCCGCCCACGTGTTCTGGGGAAGCAGAGGCTGCACGTGCCTCCCCTTGTCCCCTGCCTGCTGCCGTCCTGGGGAAGCCAGGGGTGTCAGTTCCCAGGGGACAGGCCCGAGATGGGCCAGCACGGGCCGCAGGCGACTGAGCCTTGTCCCTGCTAGGAGGCCGGTGACCGAGAGCTCCCTGGATCCGAGCACTCGGGACTGGGCAGCCATGGCCGCGCTGGGGACTGGCGTCATCTGCAGCTTGTCACAGGACCTTCCTCTGTGGGGCCGGAGAGACCCCAGAGGGCAGGCGCCCTGGGTCGGAGGGACTGCCCCCCACCCCGACCACCGGCAGGGCGCGGCCTCCCCGCCCCTCCCTCCAGAGCTGGTGCCAGCAGGAGGGAGCCCTGGGTGGGGGCCGGGGAGCGGGGAGTAGACGCACAGGTGCCTGGGGCTCAGGCGCAGAGAGGGCACGGGACCCCGGGACCCAGGCCTTGCGCCCCCGCGGGTTCTGTGCGCCGAGTCGGGCTTTTGCGGACCGAGAGCCTGGCGCGATTTCAGGGAGAGAAAACCCCTCCCCAAAACGGCGTGCGCGCTGCCTAATAAAGTCAGCTGCTGGCCGAGGGCAGGCAGCCTTTGAAAAAAGGCTTTCATTAGGAAAATAATGCATTTCATCCAAATAAGGTAAAAATATTTGGAATGGGGCAGAAGTGAGCAGCAGGCAGCGCCTGTCAGGCCTCTCTGGAAGGGAGTAGATTATTAAACTCAATTACAATGTATTTTTATAAAGTGTCTCAGGAAGGAGCCAGCCCAGGGCTCGGAGGCCCCGGGCTGGCTGTCCCGACCTCTCCCTGCAGGGCTGGCCCACGTGACCCGCTGGTTCCCGGGCTGGGGCTGGGGCGGGGGGCCCGCCCTGGGCCTTCGTGGTGCCCCTGGAGCAGGCCAGGTGGCCCGGGCGCCTTACTGGGATACACACATACGCGCACACATGCACACCTGGACACGCACACACACCTGGCACACACACACCCGGCACACACACACATGCACACACACACCCGGCCGAGGAAGGGGCGCATTCCGGGTCAGGGGAAGGGCTGCCGCGTGTGTGTCCAGAAGTGTTGGTTTTCTCTTTTCCCGTGGTGGGAGTCCGCGCCGCACGTTCGGGAGGGCGCAGGCCCGCGTCGCCCGCTCCCCTCTCCTCGTGCGCTCCTGCGCAGGGCTGTGCTGAGCCGCCCGCTGGCTTTCGCGCCCATGTGGACACGGGGTTTCCCGGAAGGCCGAGGGAGCCGAGGCCCTGGCTCCAGACCCCTCCCCCCCGTGACTGCCCGGCCCCCACCCCACTCTGAGGCAGGAGCCGAGGCCCAGCTCTGACCCCCTCGGGGTTTGCTCCTCCGCCTGTCTACACTGCTGTCTGCAAGGCACGCCTGGAACGGGGTTGGAGCCCTGCACGGGGCAGACGCGGCTGATGGGGGCTGGGGTGGGCCCAGCCTCCGGGGTCCTAGCCCTCCTCCCGGGCCAGGCAGGAGCCCCTGGGAGCGGCAGCTGAGGCCTGCCGAGTGCGTGTGGGTGTGGCCTGCTTTCCTGATTTCTTGCTCACTTGTTTGCTTGAAAGGCGGACTGAGGGGGAGACAGCTTCCACCCGCGGGTTCACTCCCCAAGTGGCCCCCGCAGAGCCAGCGCCGGAGCCAGGAGCTTCCTCCCGGTCTTCACGTGGGTGCCGGGCTCACGCACCTGGGCTGTCTTCTGCTGCCCTCCCGGACGAACCAACAGGGAGCTGGATCGGAAGCGGAGCAGCCGGGCCTGAAGCAGCGCACTCGAGGTGGGGCGCCGGCGCCCCCAGCGGTGACCGGGCCTGCCACACGGCCCCGCCTGGCCTGCTTCTCCCAGGGGCCCGTACCCACCCGCCACACTCGCACACTCGCGCTGCCCCCGCGGCCCCGCCCGCCCCTGGCTCCACAGCAGCCCACAGGCGAGTCTGACGTCGCGGCCAGCGAGCGACGGCGGCTCCCCGAGGCTGGACAAGCCTTCAGAGTCCTTCCGCGGAGGAGCCTGAAGTCCCCTTCCGCTGGAGATGGTGGTTAGTGTCCAGAGGCGGAGGCCTCCTCCTCGTGACGAGTGACGGGGGCTGGGCCGGCAGGCTGGGCCGCTGCCTGGGAGGCCCGCACCCACGCCGGGGCAGCGGCTGCTGACATGCGCGGGAGGCGGCAGAGGGTGGGGACGGCCGCGTCCTGCCACCCACGTGCGAGATGATGGCGATCCTGACTCCTGGGGCAGCCTGTCCCAGCCCTGGGGGAGTTGACCAATGGCTGGAGGGTTCTCTGTCTCTCACTTTGCCTTTCAAATAAATCATTTTAAAAAACAACGGGCACGGCCGGCGCCGCGGCTCACTAGGCTAGTCCTCCGCCTGCGGCGCCGGCACACCGGGTTCTAGTCCCGGTTGCCCCTCTTCCAGGCCAGCCCTCTGCTGTGGCCCGGGAGTGCAGTGGAGGATGGCCCAAGTGCTTGGGCCCTGCACCCCATGGGAGACCAGGAGAAGCACCTGGCTCCTGCCATCGGATCAGCGCGGTGCCCCGGCTGCAGCGCGCCGGCTGCGGCAGCCATTGGAGGGTGAACCAACGGCAAAGGAAGACCTTTCTCTCTGTCTCTCTCGCTCACTGTCCACTCTGCATGTCAAAAACAACAACAACAACAACAACGGGCAGTAGTGGTGTCTGGTGAGGGGCTCCTCAGCTAGGCCTGATGGGGCTGTGTCTCCTCCCCTTGATTGATAGAAGCACCCGAAACGGAAAATCTGGTTAATGGGGCTGGTGCTGTGGCGTAATAGGTTAAGCCTCCACCTGGGGTGCCAGCATCCTGCATGGCTGCTGGTTCGTGTCCCGGCTGCTCCTCTTCTGATCCAGCTCCCTGCCAATGCGCCTGGGAAAGCAGTGGAGACGGCCCAAGTGCTAGGACCCCTGCGCCCACGTGGGAGACCCAGAAGCAGCTCCTGGCTCCTGGCTTCGGATCGGCTCAGCTCCGGCTGTTGTGACCATTTGGGGAGTGACCCGGTGGTTGGAAGACCTCTCTCTCTGTTTCTTCTTCTCTCTGTTTGTAACTCTGCCTCTCAAATAAATAAAATCTTAAAAAAAAATCCAGTTAAGTCGGAGATGCAGGGATCCCCCTGCCAACCCACGGCCCACCTCAGCGCAGCCCCTGTGCCCACGGGTGCGAGTAGGAGCTGTGGCTGCTAACAGGGCCCAGCGCAGTGGGAGGGGATCGGCCTGGGGAGCCGTGGTCCTGGGAAGAGCCGCGTCGGGCTCCGTGCACTGTGGCGAAGTGAGGCACAGCTGCGTCTCCCCCCCACGGCGCCACGTCCGGCCTTGGGAGCCCACGCGGCTGGGGTCGGCTGCCCGGCCGCCATCTGCTGGGCCGGCTCTGGGCTCCTGGGAGCTGCTTCCTGTCCCGCAGCGCCTCCCAGCAAGGGTGGCCTAGGCCAGCATTCGGGCCCTGTGGAGGACTTGGGGCAGCCGCACTTCCCCAGTCCCCGGCCCTGTCCCTAGTACGCGTGTGGACTGTGGTCTCGGGTGGGCGCTTTCCTGCCCTCTGGGCCCAGCAGCCTCTTCCCCGGGGCACTTCTGAGACGCAGCGCCCGCCGCTGCCCAAGGCTGGGCTCAGGGTCGGGTGCTCTGGGTCAGAGGCTGGCACGTGGTCACTCCAGCCCAGAAGACACGGGGCGGTCCGCAGACTCCCCCCAGGCCCCGTGCTCCCTCTCCAGCCCCAGGCGTCCAGAAGCTGCCCCTCCTGCGGCCCTGGCCGCCACACTCGCACCCAGGGGGAGCCCTGTGGCCGCCCCGCCCGGCCGCAGGCTGAGCCTGGGACTTGGCTGCCTGCCTCCCCCAGGCCCCCCGGGAAGGCCGCTCGGCCCACCAGTGCCTGCGAAGCCCCAGTAATGGTTTTCATTTGTTGAACTTGTGTTTTATCCCATAAATTAGTCACTGTTTTATTTAACAGAATCGAGATATCCACCGACAATAAGCAAGTTCCAACTTGAACATTTTTAATAAGACAGAAAAAAGCCTGTATCTTCGCGTCTGTTACAAACATATTTATGTAAATAGCTCGTGGGCCGCGTTCCAGGAGCCTCTGGGAGCCGGGAGCCTGGGCGGGAACCGCTCCTGCCGCGGCGCTGTCCTGACCAGCGCCCGCCTGCCCCTGGACCCTCCGTCCAGCCATCTGCTCACCTGGCAGGTGGACGTGACGCCCCCCATGGCTGGAGCGGGCCTGGCCAGTGCGTGCGGAGGGGCTCCCTGGGCTGTAGCTGCAGGCGGGGCAGCTGGGCGGCCCCTCGGTCCCCAGGCAGCGGCCAGCGCTCTGCTCAGCCCCGTCACACTCCCGAGGGGGACCCTGCGCGGTGCCACCAGGGCCTGGTAGCCCAGGCTTTGGCTCCGTGGCTACAGACACAGGAAGTAGCCTCCTCTGGCTCTGCCACCGAACGCTGCAGGCAGGAGCCACGCCAGCATCCGGGTGGGATCCGGGTACGCGCCGTCCCCGTCCAGGCAGGCCCCTGCAGGAAGGAGGAAGGAGCCGCGGGAGGGGGCAGAAGATGGCCCGCCAAGTGCCAGCCCAGAAGCCACGGCTGGGGGGGCCGCCTGGGGGTCCTGCAGAGGCCCTGCCTGGGGGGGCTGCACGGCTCTGGGTGGCTCGCTTCAGGCTGGTCTGGAGGAGAGACCACTGCTCCGCAGGGCAGGGCCTGAGCCCCCGCCCTCTGTCCCCGAAGCCTGGCAGAACCCGACCCGGTGGCCAGAGCAAAGCTGGCCGGTCCCCGCTCCCCTGCCGGCACAGGGAGCCCGCCTGCCCCGGGTCCGGTCGGGTCGGGACGGGGTCTGTGCCGCCCCCACCCAGCTGGGTGCCAGCCAGCAGCTTGGGGGTGATTTTAAAAATAAGATACCTTGATAGATTTTTTTTCCAGTTTTTATTGAGTGAAAATGTCAAACCTTGCATCAGTCATGCAAAAAAAATCAAATAAATAAAACACATATATTAAATTTCTAATAGCACTAAATTCAAGTGGAAAAATATTCAGTTCTTAATAACCAGGTGCCGAGGAGACCAGATTCAAGTAATCAGAGCACGCTGCCCGCTTCCACGCCCGCGCTGTCTCAGCCCCTCTGCACATCTCTATATATGTATATACATATAGATATATACACACGGCTGTGCAGACATGGTACTTTATATTTATACATATACACATACATAGTTATAAAACATTAAAAAGAGCGTCGGTGGATCAAGCATCGTTTTCCCACGGAAAGGAAACAAACCTACACGTTAAAATTCAAGATGAGCTAGCAATGGCTTGTAGTCCTATGTGCAACACGAAAGGCCGGGCTCGCCGCCGCGCTTTGCCTCTGATTTTGCTACATTGAAAGATGTTGGTGGGTTTTTTTTTTTCCTTGACAGAGCTCCTTCCGCAGAGGCAGGGTCCGCGCGCGCGGGGCGGCCAGCTCCAGGGCCCCGCAGGGCGCGGCGTGGGGCCGCGTGGAGCGGGCGCCCTGGTCTGGCCGCCCCGCCCGCGCCGGGTCCTGGCTCTCTGGCCTTGGGCAGCCGAGGACAAACAGAAAAGAAAGTGAACGCCCCACCCCGCCCGGGTGGGCCTGTGCCGGGGACCCCCACCCAGGCCTAGCCTGATTGGCTGGTGGGCCTCCGGCGAGGGGGCGTGTCCAGGGAAGGGACCCCCGGCGGAGGGGCTGCGGGAACGGAGAAGCGTCCCCAAAACAATAATAAAACAAACTGGGAGAGGAAAAAAAAGCCCTATAAAGCCACACGCATAACCAAGAGAAAGCGCCCTGGTAAATGAGCTACGCGCTTGCATCAGCAGAAGTCCTTGTCTCGTCTAGAAAATTCAAGTGAGAAGGCGGCCCCGCAGCCGGTCCGCGGGCGTGGACGCCGCCCGGGGCTAAGGCCTGGGGGCGGGGCCTCGGCGCCCTCCGGCCGCAGGCCTGGCCGGCCGCGCTCGCCCCTCTGCTCGTCACATAGAGATTTTTCCTTTTTGTTCTACGTAGAATAATAACCTTTGCAGGAAAAATACTGTACAGCTTTCTGGGGTGTGTGTGTCCCCCCGCGGCGCTGACGCCCAGCAGGCGCGTCCTGTCCGGCCGCACGCGGCCCCGCGCGGGTCCCTGGGGCGGAGGCCGGGGCCTGGCGGCGCCGAGCTGGGCTCGCCGCTGCGTCCAGGAGAGATCCCGGGGGTCCGCGCCCCGGGCGGGGGAGGGGAGGCCGCGCGGGGTGCGGGGAGGGGGCTGCAGGTGCCCGCCCGCCACGCGCCGTCCCAGCCCTGAGCGAGGAGGACCCCGCGGGCGCGCCCCCAGCCCTCCCCGGACGAGAGCACCTTCTGTTTCCCTGAAGAAGACCCCCGGGCTCCAGCCAGGGCGGGGCCGGCGGGCAGCCCGCGTCCCCCCGCAGCACCGGAGCGTCCCCGCCTCTGTCCTGAGCGGACTCGGGGTCCGGAAGCACCGGCGGGGCGGCCGGGCGCACGCGGATCTGCACAGAGGAAGCTTCCGTATAAATAGCATTTCTCTAAAAAATCAGTGACAACGGGAGGAGCAGGAGGCAGGAGCCCGAGCCGGGCCTGGGGGCACGCGCGGCCCGGCCGGGGCGGGGGGCGCCGCTAGGGCGAGGAGGCGGCGGCGGCGGCGGCGGCGGGGGGCGCGGGGCCGGGGCCGCCCAGGGCCGCGAGCGCCGGGGTCCGCGCGCCCGCCCCGGCCCCGGCCCCGGCCCCGGCCCCCGGCCCGGCCCCCGCCTCCGGCAGCGACTCCTCCGAGTCGGTGCGCAGCTCCTCGTCGTCCTCGTCCTCATCGTCGTCGTCCTCGTCGTCGTCGTCGTCGTCGTCCTCGTCGTCGTCGTCGTCGTCCTCGGCCTCCTCCTCGGGCAGCGCCAGCTCCTCCTCCTCGTCCTCCTGCGAGGACTCCCCGGGGCCGGGGCCGGCGGCGGGGCCGGGGGCGGCGGCGGGGCCCGGGGCGGCGGCGGGGCCGGGGGCGGCGGGGCCGGGGGCGGCGGCGGCCGGGCCGGGGTCGCCCGCGTCGCCCAGCGCCAGCCCCAGGCCGGCGGCCGCCGTCTGCAGGAAGAGCAGCGAGCCCGGCTCGGCGGCCAGCGAGAGCGCGCCGTCCAGGCCGCCGGGCGCGCCGGGCGCGGGGCCGTCGGCGCCGGGCTCGCCGCGCTCCTGCTTGTCGTGCCGGCGCTTGTGCGAGTCCATCTGCGACATGCCCACCACGGTGTGGCGGCAGCCGGGGAAGGTGCAGTGGAAGTGCGAGCACTTGAGCTTGTACTTGCACTCGGCCGCGGCGCAGTCGGCGCTCGAGCTGAACTGGCGGAAGCCGGCGGCGCTGATCACGTCCTGCTTGCCGTGGTGCTTGCGGTGCGCCGTGACCTTGGTGCTGTCGGTGCAGCGGAAGCGGCAGCGCAGGCAGTGGAAGTGCGTGCTGCTGCCCGAGAACGGGCAGTCGGCGAAGTGGCAGCGCAGCGACGCCTTGAAGCGCTTGAAGTCGTCCAGCACCAGGTTGTCCACGCGGTCGTGGTGCTGCGCGTGCTTGTACATGTGCGTGCGCCCGCAGAACTTGTAGCCGCAGTTCTCGCGCGTGCAGTGGTAGTGGGTGACCTTGAGCGAGAACTGGCAGGCCGCGTCCTTGCAGTCCTCGTACAGGTCGAAGCGCCGGAAGCCGTCCAGCATCATGCCCTCGTCCAGCATCTTGCGCGAGGCCGCCGTCTTCCGCCGCTTGCCGAAGGGCGACATGTCCTCGATGATCCAGAACCGCTTCTTGGCGCCCGAGGCGGCCGGCATGGAGATGGTGTTCCCTGGGGAGGGCGGCGAGGTCAGTGCGGGGCGCCGCCCAGGGCCTCCGCTTCCCGCCAACAGCCACGGAGGCTCGGCCAGGCGTCCCTGCCTCCCCAGGCTCTGGGGGCACGCCGGCTGCTTCCGGGCCAGTCTGGGGGGGCAGCGAGGCCGCGGCCGCGCTAATTGGAGCAGCGGGGGGACTGTCGGCTGGGCCGGGTGTAATTACCCGAGTTGGCCCCAGGCCAGGACCCATCAAACCGACTTCTAACGAAAACGAAGGCTGGCATCCGCCCGGGACCTGCGCCGCGGCACAGAGGTGCCAGCGCCCCGGGCGGGCAGGGCCCGTCTGATACCAGGGGTCCTCTCAGGTCTCCTTGGGGGTCTGCCTGAGGTACCTCTGGGAGCTGGGCAGCAGGAAGGCGCTGCGCCCGCTCCGCTCCGAGCCTCCTGCCTGGCTGGGACCCCGGCGGCTCGGCGGAGGGGTGGCGCCCACCCGTGCCCACCACGGCCCCAGGCCACGTTCCTGGACTCAGCTGCCAGGGGTCTTTCCCCCCTTCTGCATGCCCTGGCAGGACTACAGCTGCACGGGCTGGGGGTGGGAAAGGGACAGCTGCTCCTGCCTCCCCCCCACCCAAAAGAGTCTCAGGCCCAGCTGCACCTGGAGTGGGTGGGGCACCTCCTCCAGGCACCGATGCCCACAGAGCTGCCCCTCTGCCCCCACAATGGCTGCACTCCCATGGGGGCAACGGGCCCAGTCACCCACCCTCGGCACAGGAAGAGAACCCAGGACTGCGATGGGGTGTGGGTGCCCAGGCAAGGGGCAGGGGCCCAGACATCCAGGGCCGTGAGCAAGTGCTTGGGTCAGAGGTCACGGGGCTGTGTCCGGCTGAGGTCCCGGGGCGGGGACCTTCTGCCCTGCTCACTGCTTAACCCCGGGCCTGGCACAGCGCCTGTGCTCAGAGTGAACCCAGAGGGACAGAGCCGCAGTGCAGGCTGTGCCCAGAAGGGAGAGGCCTGGAGCCCTCTGGGGCTTGAGACGGCAGCGGGTTCCTCTCCGGGCTCAGCTCCTGGGGGGCGGGGTTCAGGCCCTGGCACCAGCAAACCTTCCCAAGAACATGTCTCCCCCTGGTGCCAGGTCCCAGGTGAGCTCCTGGGAGCAGAAGGGATAGGCTGTGCCCTGCCCAGGCCGAGGAGGGAGGGACTTCCCCGCGACCAGTGCCGGGCAGCCAGCAGAAGTCTGGAGGGCACGGCGTGGCCACTCTGGGCTCGGCAGCGTCGCGGAGCCGGGGCAGATCTCTGGCCGGGGCTGAGCGGGAGCCGCCAGGACCTGTCCTCTGGACAAGGACCTGGCTCTCTGGTCTCAGGGACGCTTGGTGGGTGCAGGGAGCCCCGCCCGACAGCAAGGGTCGGTCGGGGGTGACAGGCACGGTGGAAGGAAGGGCGTGTGTGAATTACCTGCAGCGTCCTGCACTAGGGGGACATCGCTTTTGACTGGAGTTGGAGTTGGAGTGGCAGTGACGGGCGGGAAGCTGGGCGGGCTGCTGACGGGGTGGGCCAGGCCCCGGCTGGCTCCGAGAGTGGCACTGAGCAGAGAGTATGAGAGACAGGACGGAGAGAAGAGGCAGGGGAGGGAGGGAGGGGGCGGCCGGAGCACAGCCGCTGAGGATGGAGCCCCGCGGGCAGCCTCGTCACCAGCGGCAGCAGGAGGAGGAAGAGGAGGAGGAGGAGGAGCCGCGCAGCCTGGAGAGGGTGGAAAAAGCAGAAAAAAAAAAAAAAAAAAAAAGAAAACCAAAAAAAAGAACAAACAAAAAGAACCAAAATGAGAAACCCAATGGCAGAAGCAAGTATGACATGAACATATGTGGACAGATGAGCAGACAGAATGTGATAAGAAGTGGGGGCAGGAGGGGCGGGAGGAGAGAGAGGCCTCGGAGGCAGGGTGGGGGAGCTCAGGGGGGCGGCCAGGTGTGCTGGGCAGTGCCTGCAGCAGCGCCCGGGAGGCACGAGCCGCTCCGGGGCCCCGGGACCGAGCTGGAGGCCAGGAGCGGGGGCCTGAGCAAGGCTGGGCCCCCACTCGCCTGCCCCCTGGCTGGGGGCTGCGCTGCTTCGCCCTGTAGCTGTCAGTGGGGACAAGGCCAGGGCCTGTCCTGGAACCTGAAGCGGAGGGCAGAGTGCCGGGGAGGTGGCCTCAAGGACTGGAGACCCACCGACCTGCTGGTCCACTGCACACCAGCCTGTCCTCCTTGGCAGCGGCCTGGGCCATGAGCCCTGTCCCAGACAGAGCCGGCAGGGCTGGCCTGGGGCTCAGGGCTGGCCGGGCCCGGCGCTGCCCGCTGCTCACCTGCCGCGGTACTCTCGTTGCCCACGGGGGTACTGGAGCAGCTCCGATCCATGGTGGACGACTCGGAGGACATGGCGCCCGGGCTGCAGCCGGTGTACTCCATGTACTCATCCGTCTCAGTGTCCAGCAGGCTTGGGGGGCCCTGGAAAGAAACGGGGGTTGCTACGGGAGCTGCCTGGATACGAGGGGGCAGGGCACGGGCGAGCGGGGGAGGCCGCCCACCTGCGAGGGGGGCACGCGGTCGAAGTTCTTCCCCAGCATCCTGCGCATGTGCTTCCGGGCGTGCGAGGTCATCTGGTGCTTGAGGAGGAAGGAGAACTGGCAGCCCTCCCGGATGCAGTGGAAGTGACTGTTGACCTGGTTGTACTTGCAGCCTGTGGACACAGCCCGGCCAGCCTGAGTCTCCCGGCCCCACTGTGTGTCGGCCCCTCCTGGGCGTGGGGGACCTGTGGCCAGCTGGACACAGCCCGGCCAGCCTGAGTCTCCCGGCCCCACTGTGTGTCGGCCCCTCCTGGGCGTGGGGGACCTGTGGCCAGCTGGACACAGCCCGGCCAGCCTGAGTCTCCCGGCCCCACTGTGTGTCGGGCCCCCTCCTGGGCGTGGGGGACCTGTGGCCAGCTGGACACAGCCCGGCCAGCCTGAGTCTCCCGGCCCCACTGTGTGTCGGCCCCTCCTGGGCGTGGGGGACCTGTGGCCAGCTGGACACAGCCCGGCCAGCCTGAGTCTCCCGGCCCCACTGTGTGTCGGGCCCCCTCCTGGGCGTGGGGGACCTGTGGCCAGCTGGACACAGCCCGGCCAGCCTGAGTCTCCCGGCCCCACTGTGTGTCGGCCCCTCCTGGGCGTGGGGGACCTGTGGCCAGCTGGACACAGCCCGGCCAGCCTGAGTCTCCCGGCCCCACTGTGTGTCGGGCCCCCTCCTGGGCGTGGGGGACCTGTGGCCAGCGGGGCAGACGGCAGCTGGGACAGGGCCCTTCCAGAACCCCGAGGCGAGGCGGCCTTCCCGTGGGAGGGAGGAGGGTTCCTAGAGCAGCCCTCTTCCAGGCTGTGCAAGCCCTGGGCTCCACCCTGGCTCCTCACATGGGCGGGGGGGAGTGGCAGGTGGGCTGGTCCTGTCTCTGCCCTGGACATGGAGGGGCCCACAGCTCCCAGTCCACCAGGTCAGCCACCTCCTCTGGGAGACCCTGTTGTGATGGCTGGCAGCAGGCCTGCCGGCCTTCCGCCTGCCTCCCAACCCCCTCTGCCTTGCTCTCTTGCTCTGGGCTGAGCACAAACAGAGTGGGGAGGGGGGACTGAAACAGGATCGGCCAAGGGCAGGTGAAGGCCTGCCCGTTGCCATGGCACCTGAGTTGGCCAGGTGTCTCCTAGCATCCCTCAGCCCCCCAGCTTTGTTTGGCCTCAGCTACTACCAAAACACCCAAAGTTTGAGTAAATAGGAGCGACTGCAGAACACCCTGACATCTGTAAACCGAGCCAGGAACAGCAGAGGCCCCGAGTGTGGACACCTGTTGTCACGGTCACCAGCTCTCCCTGGCCGTGAGTCCTCTTTGGATTAAAACGTGAAGGGAAAGTTTCCCTCCTTGTCTGGCAGCTGACTTGGAGAGTCTCTGCCTTCCCCGGGAAAGAGCCAGACCGCAGCAGCCAGTGGCCCCTACCCAGCTCCCCCACGGCCCTGCCGCGCGAGCACCAGGCCACCCCAGGCTCTTCCTGCAACCCAGGCGCCGAGGAGGGCCTGCGGGCTCTCAGCCGCCCTCCTGCTTCCGGCCTGTTCCTAGGGGGCTTCTTTGCCTCTGGCCCATAAGCACGTGGCTGGTTCTGCAGTCCCCTCCCTGCAAGCGTCCCTAGCAACCTCCAGCCCACGCGCAGAAGGCGTAGCCGAGCCCACCAGACCCCAGCATAGACAGGAGCTCGAAACGCCGCAAAATCTTAGCCGTCACTGCCGCTGTCACCCCCTGCAGTAGAACAGAGCCCAGGACACAGACGTGTTGACTGAATGGATGAACCAACACCTCAGAATTCAAGTCCCAGAGAGCCCAGGGCAAGGACCCGGGCTGTAACCGCTCCTCGGCCTTTCGGCTAAGATCAAGCGTGAAGACCCGGCCGCAAGTCTCCCGAAAAGGAAGGGGACGGCACTCAGCCCACACTGAGGACGAGGCCCTGGGTCACGCGGGGGTGGGGGACTCCCCCAGGTCGCCCTCGCCCTTCCTCCTGGGCTGTTTGGGTTTGGACTTGGACAAGCTGGACAATGCCTGGCCTGTGACATCGTTAACAAGCTATGGAGCCTGATGTGGGAGGCAGGGGGTGGGTACCGGGACAGGAGGGCCTCAGGCGCCAGCGCCAGGTCCTGCCGCCCGCCCGCCTTCCTACCTAGCCGGCCGCACTCCTCCCGCTTGGTGAAGTATTTGAACCCGTTGGCTGCCCGCCGCTCGGCTTTCTCGTGCTTCTTGATGTGCCAGGGCAGCTTGGTGGTGATGTTGGTCACAAAGTAGCAGCCCGTCCGCAGGCAGTGGTAGTGCCCGCGCATCCGGAACTCGCAGTGCTGGGGGGAGGCCGGGGGGGGGTGCCCTCGTTAGGACGGGGCGGCCGCTGAGAGCTCCTGGCACCCAGGCCTCAGGGCTGCCCCAGACCCTGCACATGTGTTCTCCCAAGCTCAGAATCAGGAATCAAAATTGTGTCAAGAAAGATCTTGCACACGCTCACGTGCACCATGTCCCCTTCTTCCTTTATCAAAACATCTTACCTGGCAGACAGACCTGGGTAGACATCACTGATCTATCCCAGCACTCCTCTCTGTAATACACCCAGACAGACCTGGGCAGACATCACTCATCTATCCCAGCACTCCTCTCTGTAATACACCCAGACAGACCTGGGCAGACATCACTCATCTATCCCAGCACTCCTCTCTGTAATATGCCCAGACAGACTGGGGCAGACATCACTCATCTATCCCAGCACTCCTCTCTGTAATACACCCAGACAGACCTGGGCAGACATCACTCATCTATCCCAGCACTCCTCTCTGTAATAGGCCCAGACAGACCTGGGTAGACATCACTGATCTATCCCAGCACTCCTCTCTGTAATACACCCAGACAGACCTGGGCAGACATCACTCATCTATCCCAGCACTCCTCTCTCTGCCCCCATCAAGCTCCAGTTCCATCTCAGGCAGCCCCGGTTAGCTCTGCCAGTAGGCCATCAAGGGTGAACCCCATCTACTCCTCTTGCCTGGGCGTGGTCAGTCCTGGCTGTGATTCTGTTCAATGGTCCTATTTTAAAATTCTAGACCTCTGGGGGAAGGGGAACATGGCTAGTTTCAGAATGGGAGAAGATGCCACCAAGTGCACAGTGGCTGCCCGGCACTCAGCTGCCACAGGGGGCTGGGAATGAAATGACAGACCTCACCACTGCGGCACCATCAGAACGCTACCTGGGGGCCTCCGGGGTCCAGGGGCAGATAGCATCCTTTCCAGACTGGGTGGCGACTAACTTAAAAAGGTGTCAACGGTGGAGGCTCTGCCGGGGAGCTCGCCCTGGGCCCCGCGCCACCCCTCGCTCCCAGCCCAGCCCCCCGTCCTACTGACCTGGTTGGGGCAGAGACACTGCAGGGAGTAGTAAGCAAACTGGTCTCGCACGTTCACTAGGTTGTTGTTGGGGTTGATGTGGTCGAGGCAGTGGGATTCGGCCTTGCCGGAGGTCTTACACACGTACTTGCAGTTCCCAAAGAGACAGTGGAAGTGGAACTTGTTGGCGTACTTGCAGTCGGTGGCAAGGCACGGATCGCTGGAAGGAAACCACAGCCCAGAAGGTCATTGGCTTTCCCAGGCCCGCCCCCCGGGGCCCTGACTCTGCTCGTGCTGGGGTCACTCCCCGGCCCCAGTGGTGCAATCAAGAGGCTGCTCTCCTGCTCAACAGGACGATTCAGTCAGAGGACACTACACATCCCAGCATGCCTTCTGGCCTCTTTCAGGTGCTCCGCATGGTGCCCAGAGATTGCGGCATCCCAGGTGCACAGAGCATTGCATGCTGGGACATGTAGTTTCCACGGCCACACCTCAGGATTACAGATAAGGATGGCTGCAATAACTTCTTGGATATGAAAGTAAGAGATGGTGCTGCCAGTCCTGGCAGGGTGCCAGGGAGGGCCTGGCTGGCACGGCACAGCACTGCCTTGGATGGGGCTGACTGGCACACTGCAGATGGGTGGGCCCTATCGGGAGGCTTAGCAGGTGGGAATATGTGCCTGGTATCAGCTCCTGCTGCTGCTCTCAGGGTCGGCTGGGGCCTGTGGCACTCACCCCCGCAGAGAACCAGACCCGAGGCGTGGGGAGCAGTGCTGGGCCAACCCCTTACGGCCGGCCTGCCTGGGATGCTGGCAGGGCCCGCAGCCCCTCCCAAGGCCGCCGAGGGGTGCGGGGGGAACTCGGGGCTCCAGCCTTTGGCAGCACTGCAGACCAGCCCCACCCCTCCCCCCAGCGGAAGTACAGTGAGGGCCAGGACACTAAGGGGGCTACCATGTGGGGGTGGAGAAGGAGGGAGGGACGTGGGGGAGGGACCGAGAGGTGCGCTGGTCCCCTTCCCGCTGTGGGCCCGGCCCCAGGTGCTCAGAGAGGAGGACAGCTGCCACTCAGGCGGTATAAATAATCCAATTTATTACTTTTATTGAGAACAGGAAGCCGCACACATACAGAGTCACCGTTCTCGCCGCAAGGAGCCACCACCATCCAGTGAGGAAGGTCTCTTCCAGCCCTCAGAGCGCAGAGCCCTGTGCCGTGGGCGCGGGCCTGGGGGGCGCCTGGCCCCCGCGTCCCCACCTGTGACTTTCGTGCTCTGCAGACTCGGCCACAGAAGGAGGCCAACAGGAGGCCTACAGGGAGCCAGGGCCCTGAGGACCACCCACGCCGGTCCTTGCAGGATCACCACCAGCCCAGTGGGAACAGCGGCTACCGCCGCCGCTGCCTGGACCCCGCCGGCCTGCTCGGGGAACCGGCAGTGAGCTGTGAGCGGCAGCATCTTTGGCTAGAAGGACATCACCCAACGGCTGTGTCCCTGGGAAGCTTGTGGCAGCCGCGCTAACTGCGGGGTGAGCAGCAGGCCCTTGGCTGCCCTCACTAGCACCTACTCCCGACACGCACGGGGGACGCGGGCTCCCGGCTCATCAAGGGACTCACTTCTCCTGGAACTGGAGGAATCCGGGTTTGACCTGGGGCTTGGCGTTCTCTAGAGAAGTCGTTGCCAAGGGCGACGCGGGCAGGTGAGGCACTGACGCTGGAATCTGAGGCATCTGGGGTATGGTGGAAGCCAGCTGCTTCCAGGCAAGCAGGGTGGGGGTGGAGGGCACCGAGGCCGGGCTGGGAGCGGGCCCCTCCAGGGAGGACACCGGGGCCGTGCTGACCGGAGGTGCCGGAGGGGGCGAAGGGGCCAAGGGAGGTTTGGTCTCAGCAGCTGAGGCCGGGAAGGGGGCCTCCGCGTTGCCCTTTGCTGCTCCTCCCTCTGTCCGGAAGTGGAAGCTGTGAGGGGCAGAAGACGGCGTCTCAGGTGCAAGCCAAGGGGACCCTGAGCAGGCTGGCCCTGCCCTGGCCACACCTCCCACGCCCCAGCACAAGCCCAGGGGCCCAGGTGCAACCCAAGGGGACCCTGAGCAGGCCGGCCCTGCCCTGGCTGCGCCTCCCACGCCCCAGCACAAGCCCAGGGGCCCAGGTGCAAGCCAAGGGGACCCTGAGCAGGCCGGCCCTGCCCTGGCCACGCCTCCCATGCCCCAGCACAAGCCCAGGGGCCCAGGGGCGGGCCTCACGGGAATCACTTGAGGGCACGCTACTCTGCCTCTGGGTGTGAACGTGGGCTGCTGGCTGGGCCTTCTACTGTGTGTCTGTGTGTGTTTGTGTCTGTGTGTGTCTGTGTATCTCTGTGTGTGTCTGTGTATATGTGTCTGTGTATCTCTATGTCTGTGTGTGTTTGTGTCTCTGTATCTCTGTATCTCTGTGTGTGTCTGTGTATATGTCTGTGTGTGTTTGTGTGTCTGTGTATATGTCTGTGTGTGTTTGTGTCTCTGCGTGTGTGTCTGTGCATGTCTGTATCCCTGTCTGTATCTCTGTGTGTGTCTGTGTGTAGCGGCAAGCCCTGCCGCATGGAGGCCCTTCCTGCTAGAACCTGCTCTGAGGCTGGGAAGGACTCTCAGCACTCGTGAGAGTAAAGTTCTGAGTTCAAGTGTCAGCAGGCGGTTGGGCTTGCGTTTTTTACTGCCAAGGGGGGGCTTACAAGTTAACCGCACTCTTTTCAGGTGAAAGAGAAGCCAAAGATGTGACAGCGCAGCTTGGAAAGGCCTTCACCTAGGGCGCCCACCCCCAGCCTGCTCTGGCTCACGGCTCCACCTGGACCCGCAGCCGGGTGGGACCTGGGCAGGGGCCTGAGACGCCGGCTTGAGGGCATGGTGGGAGGCTGCGAGACCCGCCCTTTGTCCACTCACGGGGAGGCGTCCCTGGGCCCTGCCTGGCAGGGCACTAGGGGCCTGGGCAGCCCCAGCTCCCACCACACCCAGCCCCAGGGCAGCCTGGGCGGCAGACGGGTCCCTGAGGACCCCCACTCACTACTCACTTCGCATGCTTGATAGCCCCGTCCAGGGTGCTGAAGAGAGCGCCGCACTCCTCCACCACGCAGTGGAAGTGAGCCTTGTGGAGGAAGTCGCACTGGGCGTCGCAGAAGTCCTTGGTACCAAACCTAGCCAGAGCAGCCGGTCGGTGAGAACGCAGCCGGGGGCGCTGGCCACCAGGAGGGGCGGGCACCGTGGGCCGCGGGGCTCTCCCCGCCCGACCCCCAGGCCGGCCCCTCACCTGCGCAGGTACACCTTCCAGGGCTCTGACAGCTTCTCCTGCGCCAGGGCCTTCACGGCCTTGCCCAGGAAGGGCGAGGGCTCCGCCGCGGGGCTGCCCTCCGCTTCCGTCTTGATGTTCAACAGGCTGCCGAGGCCGGGGTTGCCCTGAGACATCTGCGGGGACAGGAGCTGATGTGGGGCAGGGCCGGGGGCTGGGGCCACGCGCACGCCTGCCTGGGGAGGCGCGGCAGCGCTGGGCCACTCAGTCCTCTTGGGACCGACCTCAGCCCTGTGGTGCTGGGAGCCGAGAATGCGGCCCCACGGCCCTTGGCTGTGGCTCCAGAAGGGCATCTCTGAGTGGCCGCGGCCGTGGCCTGGGGGTGGGGGTGCAAGGCCTCCTCGGGCTCCTGCACACAAACCCGCGCTGCCGGGGTCCATCACTCAGGCCGGGGCCGCGACTCGGGGTGCGCTGCAGCCCTCTTGCCCCAGACTTCGCGGCTCCCTGGTTACTTCCCTGCCAGAAGGTTTTCAAAAGGAGGAGGAGGGGGAGGGCTGGGGGGACCCCAGGAACTCCTTGAGAACAAGAGAAGACACACAAAGGAGGAGCAGGGCGGGAGGCTCCCGGGGAAGATCAAGACAGGCTGGCTGCAGCGGGGTGGGAGGGGAGCCCCGGGCATGGGTGGGGGGTGCAGGGGGCAGGGGGCAGGGGGCAGGGGCTGAGAGCGAGAGAGCAGGCAGGAGCGGAGGCGGCAGGGCAGCCAGGGGCAGCCGGAGGCTGCTGTCCCGCCAAGTGCCCAGGCAGGACCCCCGCCCCGTGAGGTCGGGCCCAGGCCCGGCTCCCTGTACAACCGTCACTTGTGTAGGGTAACCAAATTAATCTTGCTGTAGTCAAATTTATCATGTGAAGGGGAAAAATATATTTGAGATGATGTATAATTTACAGAGACCCTGCATTATTTAAAATAAATATTCCAGTGCGACCTCTCCGGAAGGCGTCCGACACCATTACTCAACCCGCTCCCACTTTAGCTCCCCTGCCCCCACCCCTCCTTAAACAAACAAAAAATAGATAAAATAAATAAATAAAATTAATAACTAAGAGCGAGAAGAAGTTAGAGGGCTCAGGAAAAGCTTCTGGAGCCCTCCATCTGAAGGGAAAAAAAAGGTGTCAGAGGCTGGGATATATTTCTGCAGCCAGTTCATTAAATTAATTTGTAAGCAGTGGCTCTGAAATTATATCCGATGAAAAATGGCCTCAAAATTTAAATGGTACAAACTCATCTTATTAGAGGGAAAACATTAAAAAACAAACACCTCCCCCCCAAGCCCCCAGCACAGCTTTAATTTCTCTGGGTGGGGAATGGGAGGCGAGTGATGGATGTTCTTACCTT